GAAAGTAAAATCCAATGCTAGTATCTTATGCTTAAGCAAAGAAGAATGGGATGATGCAGGAGCTGGATAAGGTAGACTGGGAGCAAAGACTTATAGCAGGGCAATTGAGGAACAGTGGAGGACTTTCAAAGCAACTTTTAACAGTGCTCAGCAAAAGTATATACCAGTGAAAAGGAAGGACCGTAGGAAAAGGGATAATCAGCCATGGATAAGTAAGGAAATAAAAGGAGGGTATCAAATTGAAAGCTAACATATACAAAGTGGCAAAGATTAGTGGGAAACCTTTAAAAGTTCAACAGAAAGCCATGAGAAAAGCTATTAGGTAAGATAGGTTATGAGAGTAAACTAGCTGGGAATATAAAAACAGATAGCAAAAGTTTCTAAAAATATACAAAACGAGAAAAAGAGTGGCTAAGGTAAATATTGGTCCTTTAGAGGATGAGAAGGGGATTTAATAACGGGAAATGAGGAAGTGACTGAGGTGTTGCACAGGTATTTTGTGTTGGTCTTCACAGTGGAAGACACAAATAGCATGCCAATGATTGTTGACAAAGGAGGCCATGGCTGGTGAAGAAAGGATTATCACTAAAGAGGTAATGTTGGGAAGCTAGTGTGACTAAAGGTAGACAAGTCTCCTGGCCCTGATGGAATGTATCACAGGGTACTAAAAGGGATGGCAGAGAAAAAGCAAACGCACTCATGGCAATTTATCAAAGTCAGCTGCACTGAGGCAGTTCTGGCAGATTGGAAAACAGGAGATGTGACACTATTGTTTAAAAAAGAGGAGGTAGACAAAAGGCAGATAACTATAGGCCTGTTAACTTCTGTAGCAGGAAAAATGCTTGAATCTACTATAAACGAAGAAATAGCAAAACATCTGGATAGAAACTATCTTTCTGGGCAGACGCCACGTGGGCTCATGAAAGGTGGGTCACGTTTATTTAATTTATTAGAATTCTTTGAGGACATTGAGTACAGTAGACAACAGGGATCTATTGGATGTGGTGTGTCTGGATTTTCAGAAGGCATTCAACAAGATGCCACATAAAAGGCTGCTGCATGAGATAAAGGTGCATGGAGTTATGTGCAATGTATTAGCACGGATAGAGGATTGGTTAACTAACAGAGCAAACAGTGGGGTAAATGGGTGTTTATCTGGTTGGCAGTGGCTAATGGTATGCCTCAGGGATCAATGCTGGGACTGCAATTGCGTACAATTTGCAGATGACTTAGAGTTTGGTACCAAGTGTAGTGTCATCTGTGAATTTTGACACACTAAGATGAGTGGTAGATCAAAACGTGCAGAGGACACAAAGATTGCAGAGATATTTAGATAGATTAAGTGACTGGGCAAGGGTCAGGCAGATGGAGTACAATGTTGGTAAATATAAGGTCATCCATTTGGATAGGAATAACAGCAAAATGAACTATTATTTAAATGGTGAAAAATTACAGCATGCTGCTGTGTACAGGGACCTGGGTGTTGTTCTACATGAATCACCAAAAGTTGGTGCGCAGGTGCAGGTAATTAAGGCAGCAAATGGAATATTGTCCTTCATTGCCAGAGGAATGGAGTATGAAAACTGAGAGGTTATGCTGCTGCTATATTGGGAACTGGTGAGGCCACACCTGGAGTACTGTGTACAATTTTGGTCTCCTTACTTGAAAAAGGATGTATTGGCACTGGAGGGGGTACAGAGGAGGTTCACTAGGTTGATTCTGGGCTTGAGGGGAGATTGAGTAGACTGGGACTATACTCATTGGAATTTAGAAGAATAAGGGGTGATCTTATAGAAAGATTAAATCATGAAGGGAGGAGTAGATAAGTTAGAAGCAGGGACGTTGTTTCTACTGGCAGCTGAAACTAGAACTAGGGGACATAGCTTCAAAACGAGGAGCCGATTTAATGCTGAGTTGAGGAGGAACTTCTTCTCCGAAACAGTTGTGAATCTGTGCAATTCCCTGCCCAATGAAGCAGTTGAGGCTACCTCGTTGAATGTTTTCAAGGCAAAAGATAGATAGATTTTTGAAACGTAAAGGAATTAAGGGTTATGGTGTGCGGGTGGATATGTGAAGCCGAGTCCACGCAAAGATCGGCCATGACCTTATTGGATGGCACAGCAGGCTCAAGAGGCCAGATGGCGTACTCCTGCTCCTATTTCTTATGTTATGTAGACACAATTTGGCCCAAGTGCTCTGGGAGCAGCTAATTACAGATAAAACTGTCAGAGAAAGAGGGGTCATTAAAGGAAGAAAAAAAGAGAGAGTACAGGGCAAATATGTTTCAATAAGGATGGAACCAAAACCAGAGAACCCTGGATGACAAGGGACCTAAAGATGGTTTCTGTGTAGGCTAGTAAAATGTGGGCAGAGTCTTCCTTTAATACATTGCATTTGTCTTCAGAATGGAAAAGGAAGAAACAAGTATAAACATCAAGGTGAAATATTTTAAGAAATTAACATAGACAAAGAAGAGTTACTCGTGAGCATTGTAGTCTTAGATACAGATGCAGGGAACACCACCACCAAGCAAGTTCCCCTCCAAATCGCACCATCCTGGCCTAGAACTTCAGGTTGATGAAGTTGGTTGGCTCGCCAAGCTGGTTTGTTGTTCCGCAGACGTTTCGTTACCATGTTTGGTAACATCCTCAGTGCAGCCTCCGATGAAGTGTCAGTGTGTTTTCCTGCCTGGTTTTTAAACTCTGGAGTCCATTGAGATGGATTGCCTCACTTCCGGGTTTCCTTCGTAGTGGAATGTATATGGAGTCGAGTTCAATGTGTTTATTAATAACCATCTCCAAAGACAACATGCTCGAACTATTGAACCTATGCCTGACCACCCACTTCACTTTCAACGGCCAAACATACGAGCACCCATGGGATCACCTATCTCTAGGCTCATAGCAGAAGCAGTGATGCAAAGACTAGAAAGGACTGCCCTTCCACAAATCCAACCAAAACTGCGGATATGCTACATAGACGACATCTGTCATCATTAAATGGACCAAATCAGAGGCGGCACACAAACTTATAAACACCACCCTCACTGGAATAAACTTCACCAGAGAGGGGGAGAAGAACAAAACAGCTCCCATTCCTGGACGTCATGGTAGAGCGCAAGACAAATGGGGAACTGCAAACGAAAGTACACCGAAAAGCCACACACAGACCAGGTACTGAACTTCAACAGTAAACAATCCCAGCACACACAAACGAAGCTGCATGCAAACACTATTTAAAAGGGCAACAACACACTGCAGCAACACTGAACTGCCCCAAGAAGAATACTTCTTCCAGGTTTTCAAGGATAATGGATATCCAAAGAATTGGGTCAGAAGATGCCTACATGAACAGCATCAGAAAGAGACTACACGCCCTGACACACTCATCACACTACCCTATATCAGAAACGCATCGGAACTCACCACAAGACTCCCACGACCGCTAGGCATCAGAGTGGCACACAAGCCCACATCAACCCTACGACAACTGCTCACCCGAATCAAGGACCCACTCCCCACCATGGACAGGACCAACGTCATCTACAAGATCCCCTGCAGAGACTGCGAGAAACACTACATCGGACAAACAGGAAGGAAACTAACAACAAGAGTACATGAACATCAACTGGCTACAAAAAGGCATGACCAATACTCACTCATCTCAATCCACATGGATAAGGAGAACCACCACTTCGACTGGGACACCACCAAGATCCTGGGACAGGCTAGGCAGAGACAGGCACGAGAATTCCTCGAAGCATGGCACTCCACGAAGCATGCTTTTAATAAACACATTGAACTCGACCCCATATACATTCCACTATGAAGGAAACCCAGAAGTGAGGCAATCCATCTCAATGGATTAAAAACCAGGCGGGAAAACACACCGATGCTTCATCAGAGGCTGCACTGAGGATGTTACCAAGCATGGTAACGAAACGTCTGCGAAACAAGAAACCAGCTCGGCGAGCCAACCAACTTCAACCTCAACACCCACAACCCGAGCTACAAATCTACTCCAAAACCTTAGTGGCCTAGAACTTCATTGCTGGTAGATCATAATCCAGGAACTCTTTTCCTAACATTGTGGGTTTACCTACATCATGAGGACTGTAATAATTCCAGAAGCTCACTACCACCTGCTTCAGGGCCATTTAGGGATGGACAATAAATGCTAGTTTAACCAGCTGCACACATTGCTTGAATAGACTTTTAAAGAATGTTCTCAAAACTACCGAAAACTCAAGCTGTTACACTATCACTGCAGTATTGGCAAAGGGAAACAATACAAAGGAGCTGTAAACCAGATCATGAATATGTTATATACCTTAGCTAGGTACCTGTTATGGAGGAGGCCAGTTAGCTCTGTTGGCCGGATGGCTAGTTTGTGATGCAGAGTGATGCCAACGTGGGTTCAATTTCCACACTGGCTGACATTACCATGAATGACTCTCCTTCTCAACCTTTCCCCTTGTCTGAGGCACGGTGACCCTCAGGTTAAATCATGACCAGTTATCCTTCTCTAATGAGAAAGCAGCCCTACAGCAACTTTAAACCTGTTGTTATGCAGCACAAGTGATGCAATGTTATAACAGCATTGCACAAGTCTTAAGGACAAGTTAAGGGACAAAGATCTGTTCTAGTTATACCATATGATCTCAATCAATACCAAATTGGATTTGTCAATGCATCCTGATAGTCAAAGAATGCAGAGATACACAAAATGTGCAACCTGCAGAATAAGCCGACTGCATAAAAACGTCAAGCATCTCAGCATACTGAGGTACAGCAATATAGCCTGATGACTAAGGTTTGCCAATGTCCTTGAAATTTTGCATGGGCGGCCATTTACAGTGGCAAAGAGGTTTACTACATCCAACTGTATTACCACAGGGGCCAACCATTATTGCATATAGATCATTACAGAAATCAGTTGTGGTTCTCGTGCAAATATACAGCATCAATATGAAATATAGATATTTTATAGAATCTACTCACCACTCTCTCTTTTTTAATCATGGCCTTCAACCAGCTGAAATCTACTCCCTTGTACATTACAGCAACGAACAGCATATAACGATCGTATTCAAGCTGAGATTTTGGTGCTCCCTCTGGATAGCTCATTCTTATAGTGGTTTTGTTACCAACATCGTTAGTGAATCCTTGGATTGGTGCATTGTTCAGCCTGATAGAGAAGAATTTACGTTTCTTGGTAGGTAATTAAAACTACAAGAATAACTTAAATGGCAGCATTCTGTTTAAGGTGGTGTGTGTAGTGAGTTCAGTAAAGCGGAATACTTGAATTGGCACGGTGTCTGAACAGGCACTTCTTGCAATCAGACATGCAGTGAAATTATTCATTGGTCGGATGAGGATTTTTTTCCCGTGATTACAACGGCATTCCAAATGTCTTAAGGGCAAGTCAGGACACAAAGATCTGTTCTGGTTATCATATGATTTCAAGTAATATCAAATAGTCTTTGTCAATGAATCTTGATATGCAAATTGCCATTAGACTTGGTTAACTACATGTTATGTATTCAACGAAAAAAAAGGACATGCAAATGGAACGTAGCCAAAATTGTAAATAGTTCCCACATCCAGGCAACCAGGATATTGTGTTGTTTGCTGGAGCCAAGTATATCTATGTAACTAGAGAAGAACTAGCGATAGGAGGCTTTCATCAGGTTACCATGGCTCACATGGAAACAAGAAACTGACTAGACAAGAAATTAGGTTCTTTTAAGAGTTGAGCAGCTCCTGAAATTAAAACAAGTCATGAGCAAATGTATACAGAGTACACAGATTAAAAGGGCTAAATTTGCAAAAGGCAAGAAACATCAATTTATGGAGCTTGACATCCAAACTAAGAAAAGACGATGCTATTCCCCTAGCAAACAAAAAGGACTGTCACCAATGCAAATCAAGTAACTAGAGTAGCACAAAGAGCTGGCATCCAGGTTCACGGGATAATAGCAAGTCAAATAGAATGCTGCCCATTATTTTAAAGGGAATAGAGTATAAAATTAGGGACGTTTGCTAAAACTGTACAAGGCATTAGCCAGATCACAACCAGCATACTACGAACAACGTTTGGTCTCCTTATCTAAGGAAGGGTGTACAGACATTGCAGTCAGGCCAAAAAAGGTTCATTAGGCTGACACCAGGTATAGAGGGACTGTCTTATGAGAGGTTGAGTAGGTTGGGCCTGTACTCACTGGACTGTAGGGTCCCGAGGCGGAATAGGTGGTGTTGATCCTCCAGTTTGCATGTGGCGTCATTGTGGCACTGGAGACGGCCCAGGACGGATGTCATCAAGGAAGTGGGAGGGGGAGTTAAATGGTTGGCGACCAGAAGGTGTTGTCGATTATCATGTATAAAGCTCAAACGCTCCACAAAATGATCCTCATACCACTCCACTGCATCACTCTCCACCACTGCCGCCACCTACAATCCGACCCTACTACCAAAGGGATTTCCCTCCCCCCAGCTATCTGCCTTTCGAAGGGACAACTCACTCCTCGAATCCCTCATCCACTCAACTCTTCCCACTAACTCCACCATACTGGCACCTTTCTCTTCAACTGCAGGAAGTGCTACACCTCCCCCCTCACCTCCATCCAAGGCCCAAAGCAAACTTTTCACATCCAACATGGGGTTCACCTGTACATCCTCCAACCTGGTCTACTATATCTGTTGCTCCGGATCTGTCTCATCGACGTAGAGGCGGCGAAAGCGCAGACTTGGGGACCATTTTGTGGAGCACCTGCGCTCTGTACATAATCATCATCTTCCGGTTGCCAACCATTTTAACTCCCCCTCCCACTCCCTTGATGACATGTCCATCCTGGGCCTCCTCCAGTGCTACAATGACGCCACACGCAACCTGGAGGAGCAACACCTTATATTCCGCCTCGGGACCCTACAGCCCAATGGCCTTAACATGGAATTTACCAGTTTTAAAATCTCTCCACCCCCATCCCACTTCCAAACCTCCCTCTCATCCCCAACCCCTCGATCTGACACAACCTGTCCATCTTCTTCCCCACCTATCTGCCCTACCCTTCCCACCAACCAAACCCACTATCCCCTACCTGCATCCACATATCACTACCCCACCTACCTTTCCCCAGCCCCAACCATCCTCCCTCTCACCTTCTTGACCTGACAACCTGTCCATCATCTCTCCCACCTATGCGCTCCACCCACCCCCATGACCAAACCCCACCACTCCCTATCTGTATCCAAATATTACCATCCAATCTACCTTTCCTTGGCTCCATCCCTCCTCCATTTATTTCCCAACTCCCTACCCCCTCACCATTTCTGAAGGGTCCCGACCCGAAATGTCAGTTCTCCTGCTCCTCTGAAGCTGCCTGACCTGCTATATTCTTCTAATTCCACACCGTTGTCGCTGACTCAAGCATCTACAGTTCTTGCTATCTCTGAGTAATTAACTGGATGGTGATAGTTTAGGAAAGGGAAGGTGCAACAAGACCTGGATGTCCTTATGCAACAAATCACTGAAAGCATACAGTTGCAGCAGTCGGGGAAGAAGGGTAAATGATACGCTGACCTTCAAACAGAATGAATACAGGAACAGGTATGTCTTGCTGAAATCATACAGTGCCTTGGTGAGGGGACACGTGGAGTATTGCAGGAAATTTTGGTCTCCTTATCTGGAGGAAGGAAGTCTGGCTATAGAGGGAGTGCAACAGGTTTACAAGACTGATTCCTGGGATGGCAGGACAGACATATGAAGAGAGACTGGATTGTTTAGGACTAGATTTACTGGGGATCTCTCAAACCTAAAAACATTCTGACAGGACTAGGCAGGGTAAATGCAGGGGTGTTCCTGATGAGTAGAGTCCAGAACCAGAGGTCACAGTTTAAGCATTTGGGGTAGGCCATTTAGTACTGAGAGGAGGGAAATTTCTTCACGCAGAGAGTGGTGCGCCTGTGGAATTCTTTACCACAAAACAGTTGAGATCAAAATATTTAATGTTTTGAAGAAGTCAGAATCAGTTTTTAGGGTTAAAGGGGTGAAGGCGTATGAGGAAAAAGATGGAAAACAGGTACCGAGTTGGATAATCACTATGATCACATTAACTGGTAGAGTAGGTGCAATGGACCAATGTTTCTATATTATCAGCAAATGTGGCAACCATACCTTCCATCTCTTCAGCTGTCATTTATATAAATTATGACCAGTTGAAGGTCCCAGCACCGATTCCTATACCTTAACACTTATTACATCTTGCCAAATGAAAAAAACATTTACACCCACTCACTGTTTCCTATTAGCCAGCCAATTTTCTATTGATGCCAATATGTTACATTCTACACTACCGGCTTTTATTTTCTGCACTAGCTTTTGAGGCACCTTATCAAATGCCTTCTGAAAATCTAAGGACAGTACACCGACCAGGTTCCCTTTATCCAAAACATGTGTTACGTGCTCAAAGAACTCCAATAGATCAGGTAAACAGGATTTCCCTTTAAAAAAACCATGTTGACTCTGCCTGATTACTTTAAACTTACAGTACCCAGCTACAACCTCTTTTTTTTATTAAAGCTTCTAATATTTCCTTATGACAGATATTAAACTAACTGGCCTGTTCTCTCCTGCTGCCTCCCTCCCTTTCTGAATGAAGGGGATACCTATCTTCCAATCTAATGGGACCATCTCCAAATCAAGAAAATGAAAGCCAATGTACCAGTTATCTTACTAGCCAATTATTTTAAGACCCTACAATGAAGTCCACCAGGACCGGTCACTTGTAAACTGGGAACTCCAACAATTTACACAGTACCACTTTTCTGGTATGTTTGATTTTCCCAAGTTCTTCCCTCCCTTCCATTTCCTGATTTATTGTTGCTTTTAGTATGTCAAATGTACTCACTCATGAAGACAGATACAAAATTCCTAAACTAAAACTAAGAACTGTGATGCTAAAGATTGAAACAAAAACAGAAATTGCTGGAGAAATTAAGCAAGTCTGAAGGGTCATCTGGGCTTGAAACACTAAGTCCGTATTCTCTTCACGGATGCTGTCAGACCATCCCTTTGTCTGCCTAACTGCTGTTAGCTCTCTTGGCCTTATGTCCACCTATCACGTACGTTCCCTGCACCCCCACGTCCCAAAGCCGGTCTTCAGCATATACACCAGCCACTATCAGTTCTGAAGAAAATCACTTAACTTGAAACATTAACTCTGCTTTCTCTGCAGATTTCCAGCATTGACAGTTTTGTTTTCTTTCCCAATATTATAGTCACTGCTACCCAGGGGTACCTTTACAATGAGATCATTGACCAAAATCCTATCTCATTTCAAAAGATCAGGTCTATTATAGCCTACTCATTGGTCAGTTCCAGAACGTGTTCTCAGAAACTATCCTGAAAACATTCTACAAACTCTTCATTTCAGCCACCTTTGCCCATTTGACTTCTCCAGTTGATGTGTACATCAAAATCTCTCGTGTGCCATGGGACAGTTTAAACTAGTCTGGCAGTATGGGTGGGACCTCAAGCAGTAGTGAGACAAAAAAGAAGGTTGATGCCAGTACAGAGGTTAGACAGCAAGTTAAATAGAAAAGGCAGGCAAGAGCACGGCAGAGAATGAGGGAAGAATGATGAATTAAACTGCATTTATTTCAATGCAACAAGCCTGACAGGTAAGGCAGATGAACTCAGGGCATGGATGGGTACATGGGACTGGCATAACACAGCTATTACAGAGATATGGCTCAGGGAGGGGATAGGAATGGCAGCTCAATATTCCAGGGTACAAAAGCTGTAGGAAGGAAAGAAGGGGTGTTAAGAAAGGAGGGTGGAGTGATGCTTTTCATGAGTGAAACATCACGATAGTATTTACAGGATATTCCTGAGGGATTGTCCAATGAGGCTATATGGGTGGAACAGAGAAAAAAAAAAGAAAAAGAAAGAAAGAGGTGATCACTTTGATGGGATCCCACGATGCAGTCCCTTGTAGTCAATGGAAAATTGAGCAGCAAACATGTAGGGAGATTGCAGATAGCTGCAAGAACAATAGGGTTGTACACAGAACACAAAACAGTACAGCACAGTACAGGCCCTTCGGCCCACAATGTTGTGCCGACTTCTACCCTAAACCTAAGGTCTATCTAACCTCCGTCCCTACCTTATACTATCATCCATATGCTTAT